TCTTCCTAATCTCTGAAACACGGGCCTCGCCTCTCCTCTTCCCTCACTTTTCTTTGGCTAGTGAGCTGTTCATGTCATCCTTTACATCTTAACCCCCGCCTCGCTTCCTCTGAGAAGTCAGCTCCCCATCAACCAAGACTAGGGCAGGTGTCCCTTGGATGTGATTGCATAGCACTTACTAGGTTACCAAAACATTCACCTCAGCCTGGCACTCAAAACATTAATGTGTCCACAGTGGTTGCTACGTGCTAGGCATAGACCATGTCATATAATCATTAGCAAAGTTGCATGAGGTAGGCCTTGTTTGTACCCATTTTTACAGACATGGAAACTGAGGCTTAGAAAAGTTAACTTGCTCAGGGTCACATTACTAGGAAGCATGAGGGCTGAAATTCAAAATCAGTCTAACTCCAGAGCTCACACTTTGAATTACTGTGCCATTCTGCCTCCCAAATATTTGTGAAAAACATATTGTTTGATATTTTTTGATAAACTTGAACAAAGCAGATTCACTGACAACTTAACCTTTTCTGGCCCCAGCTTCTGGTTTTTTTAAGCTATTTGGGCCAGAATCAGAAAGCAAGAAGTTCTATGCCAGAATGATTCAAAATAGGATTCATTGATGGACTAAATTCTTGCACACAATACAAAAATAAAAGTTACAAAAGGGGAAACAATGAAAAGCAAGATTCCCCCTACTCAGAGCCACCTAGTTCCCCTTTTCCAGAGATAACTACTGAGATCTATTATCATCATGAGAGGTAGCCCTAGAGATGTATTTTGTAAACTATGATCCCAGCCTACTAATGGATCAATTTTGAGGGTCCTGACCAGCATTTGTTTTTTAATGTCATTGAAAAAAAAAAAGATTTGAAAGGATCATGTTTCTCACAGCTTGTGTTTCAGTTTGACGTGTAACACAAATGTACATCTGAGTCACAGAGTGTAAAATGTGATGTTACACTTCTCACCACGGAGTAATATTCAAAGATGTTGGAAGGCCACCAACCGGGGAGACCCAGAAGTTGGACATTATGAAGGCCGCTTCCACAGAGAACCTCCCGCCCTTACTTCCCATGAGTCACTCTGGAACTCAGCAGCCGGACACTGTAAAGCAGAAGTCAGATCCACTCCCTCCTCTGTTCAAACTCTTCCAGGGACCCCCATCTCACTGAGAGCAAAAGCCATGAGACAACATATGTTTCTGTTTGTTTGTTAATATCCTAAAACAATTCCAAAATCAAATAAAACATATGGGCTCCATGATGTAAAGAAACATGACCTGTTGCGGGGAGAGGGTCCCTGAGAAAGGGCTTCAACAGAGACGAGCAGCATCCTTCAGCTGAAAACAAGAATGGATATCTTAAAATACCATTCATATGACATTCATCAAGTTCCCTTTAGAGAATCCTGGGGGTACCTTAAGGAGGTAGAACGCTCTCCAGAAGAGCTGGCCCATGGACAGAGAGACTCCCAAAGAGGCGTGGGCTACCTCCATAAGAAGATGCCGAGGACAAAGAAACATGCAGGAGTCCAACCATAAGCCCCCAAACTACAGGTCCGGAGCAAAAGTGGCTGCTTCTCACGTGGGCAGTTTCTCTAGCTTTGGTCCAAGGTGAGCAGCAGCAGGGATGTACAGTGTTCAGTGTGGGATGGCCAGTCACAATAATAAAATAATGAGGCCAATTCTCCCTGTCTCAGAAACAGAAGCAACACTCAGCAGGAGAGGAAAGGATGGTGCCACATCCCCTCCCTCCTTTTCTCTCTCCATCTCTCTTCACTCTCCCGTGGAGCTGTGTGCCCCTAAATGTGGCAGCTTTGTCCTCTTTGGTCCATATGGGTGCCTTAACCGGAATACCCCATGGTGTCCCCATGAGAGCGGGGGTAACCCAACTCTGCGGTGGCAGCTCCAGGAAATCAGCGTATAACATCCTAGCATATTTGGACTTGTCTGTTTATTAGACACGTAAGCTCATGTGAACAAGGCTCTTGTCTGTCATGTTCTCTGTCAGATTCTCAATGCCAAGGACAACATCTGACACTAAGTAGGCACGCAGTGAATGTATCTCAAATGGATGAAAAAATGTTAGACCACAGAGTGGAAGCTGTGGTGGCCAGTAGGTACTCCAGGCATAACCAGTCATCAGGCAGATTCTGCAAGATGGGTTTGCACCCCCTGCCTCTGGAAGGCAGCCCTGCGTGTGCCCTCTGGGGCGACTTGCCAGTCTGCTATGCGTTTCGTATAACTGTGCCTTTGTGATCTAGGTGAAAAGAGATGGCAGGCGGAAGGAAATACACAAGCAAGAGCACTGAGGCTTGTGAGGGCACAGGGCACAGCAGTTACCAGCAGTGACCAAGTCACAACCTAAGAGGTCAGGTGCCTGGGAGGGCATGGCTGGAGGCCAGGTTGGACAGGTAAGGTTAGTTGTGAAGGTGAAGCAGCGTTAAGAAGTTTGTAGTTTATTCTGTAGGCAACTGGAGTTGGCAGTTTGGAAGCAAAGAAATGACATGATCAGGTAATTCTGAAAACAACATGAAAAAAGGATCAGAGAAGAGGAGGTTCTATAACTAGGGAGGCCATTTATGAGGCTATGACATATGTTCAGGTTCAGAGATAACTGGGGCCAAGACATGTGGCTGTGGAGATGGAGAGGAAGCCCTGGGGGACAATTCGGGGAGGCGACCAGTTGGAAATATGGTTTGGGATGTTAGATATCAAGGTTAGATATTCAGACATGGGAGTCATTTGGGTCCTGTTGAAGTCATGGAAGAAATTAAAAACACCTAATTTGAAAAAAAAACCCACCGGATTTGAGTAGTGGATCGTTTAGAAAATCTGATGAAAACAGGTGTTTTTAGTTTCAGAGGCTTCGCAGATACTCACCAAAAAGCCAAGTAAAAGGTCTGGGGATATCAGTTAAGAGCCCCTGGTTGAAAGAAGAAAGAATAACAGAGAAAGGGTCCCGAGGAATGACCTTACGCAAAGGGTGAGCAGAAGACAACAGTGGTCCCCAACCTTTCTCAACTGTTACAGAGACATTGACTACTGCCTATCAAAGAGTTTGGAGAAGCAGAAAAGAGGATAAGAGAACAAGAGAAAAGAAGGAGCACTTTGTTCCTGAGGTCAGAGGTGTCTCAGCACCATGGAGACTAACCACATGGCAGAAGATGAAGAAAGAGATGGAGCTAACTTCTAATTTTTTAGGTGTTTGGAAAAGACAAATTGCTCAAGTAGGAACAGCCAGAAAGCCTCTTCAAAGAGCTCAGCTGGGCCCAGAAACCCAATCAGGTGCAAGTGGAATGCAGAGCTCTCAGGAAGCCCGAGCAGAAGAAGCCTCCTAGGTAGAAGCAGGCCTCTTTCTTTAGAAAACTCAGCAAGACTCACAAGACTTGTTTCTTGAATGAACTAATAGCTAATCATTTCTATACTTATTACATAATGAACTGCAGGTGTATAGCTGCATACAACTGCCTGCAACTGTGTTCAGTAGTGTGTGTATACACCCAGTAGCCTATCTATCTAAACACATTTACATATATTTATGCATTTATATAAAGGTACGTGTTTATCCATTTGGCATGTATACATATGCATATACAGTGTAATTCTGGAAGAGTCATAATTTAATATTTATTAAATATCCAAATGTTCCTTCTATGTGTATGGCTGTGACTGAGGACTTGGTTCTATTACACAATGTTCATGAGGATTCTCTGGAGAAATTTCTTACTGCTCAGGATCAAAAGAGTTGATCTTCTCTTGAGCAATTTTTTTTTTTTTTTGTCTTGCATGTGACAGAAATTGAATTTTAGACAAGGCTTCCCTTTTGAACATGACTGCTAGAAATCCAGGAGACAAATCTTTGGTCCCACTTGTAGCAAGTGTTTTGGACTCCATGGGATGCATTAAAAAAAAAATTCATTTCTGGCTCCATTTTATGTACTTTAATTTTCACTTTTCATTTCATTTCATACACTTCTTTTTGTGAGTTACACATCTTTGTAAGCTATCTTGAACTGTTTGTTTGTTGTGTTTAGGATAAGGTGGCACATACATATGAGGCTTTAAGGTCCAGAATATTATGGCTGGGAAGGGACTTATTAATGTGACTAGAGTTAGGGCATGTGACACTGATAATGGGTATGTTATTAGGACAATCCCACAGCGATTACAGGGAGTCAGCCAGATCTCAGCCCAGGTCGTGGTTCTCTCTGCTGTGTACTAGTTGTGTGATAGGAAGCATATTATTCTCTAACCCTTCGTTTTTTTCATCTTTAAGACAGTGACCTCTTGGTATTTGGGGGAGACGGCGTACATGAGGAATGTACAGAAAGCACTTAGCACAAGGCACTTAGTCAACATTAGCTATTGCTGTCATCACTATCTTTTCGGCAAGCAGGGGTAGGCAGCCATTTCTGACCAGATCTGCCGTCAGAAAGTCCTCCCCAGCCCTGACCCCCTCTCTCCCACATCCACAGACGCCAAGCAGCCGTGTCCCGCCTGACCTGCAGCGCACCTGCACACTCGCTGCCTCCCGCAGGGTGCCGAGCACGTATCTCCAGACCAGTCTTGTTAATTGCTACCAAGAAGACACCCAAAGGCACAGGCTAAGGCGGACCCACAACCGTGTGTTCGTTCTTTACCCCACCCCCAACTCTACGCTCTGATATATACCAGAGAGGCCTGCGAGGGGACGAGGGGTCTTCGGGAAACTGGGCTGAAATTCGGGAAGGTGGGGGCGGGGGAGGGGGCGTTGCCCCGAGAGCCACCAGGTGAAGCCGGTTTCCCCCGGCTCCCAACCCCTCTCCTGGCGCTGGTTTGGTGATGTCGAGGGCACCTGGAGCCTCCCCGCCCTTCCAGCTCCGCTTCCGACTTCAGCCTCGGGCCGGGAGAAGCAGCCGCCAGGGGTAAAAGGCGAGATTGGAGGGAGGCGCAGGCCTCCGGGGACTACCGAGTAATGGGGGCAGTTTTCGGGGAAGAGCTGAACAGCGCCACACATTTCCTCGGCGATAACATCAGCGCTTGTCAGGTGGTTGGAGCGGGTGTGTGTGTGCGCGCGCGCGCGCAAGGAGGAGGACGAGGGGGCGCGCTCACACAAAGTTTGTGCCTGCGGGTTCGCCGCGGTCGGGCGTCCTGGGAGAGGAGGCCGGGGCGGAGGGGCCCGGCAGGGGGTGGTGGCGATGCGCCGCACCCCGCCGAGCCTGTCCCGCCGCGCTGGGTGAGGCGGCTCCTGGAGTGTGGCCGCGGCCATGGGCACCCTGGGCAAAGCGAGAGAAGCTCCGCGGTGAGTAGGGGCGCCCGTTTCCTTTCTTGGGGCGGGGGCCACAGCGTGCGCGGCCCCAGGACCTCGCCGGGATGGGAAGTGGGGTGGGGGGCCGGCACGGCGCCGCCTCCTCCGGGAAGTTGCGGGCCCGGGGTGCGGACGGCGGCAGCCGGTCGGGGTCTCGGCCGAAGTGTCGGCCGAAGTCGGGGGAGACGGGCTCGAGGGACGGACGAACCCGGAGCGCCCTGCGCGTCTCGCCCGATGGACTGGGGAGGGAGTCGGGTTGTGCGGCCGCGCGGCCAGAGTTGGCCCGGCGAGCCCCGGAATCGCGCTTAGCGACCTGGTCCCCCGGCGCCGGGCCCCTGGAACTCCCACTCGCGGACTTTACGCGCCCCCTGCATCTGCCGCAGCTCCGGCAGCGCCACCTGGCGGCCCCAGAAGGCCAACTAACTGCCTTTGCCAGGGGTCAGTGAGCCACATAAACCACCTGGGTGGAAACCTGCACTCCCCTACACCCACCGTGATCCTAGAGACATGTTTTAGGAGTGTCTTGGGGGTGACAGAAGAAGAAGGAAAAGTGACCGTGAGTGAAAAAGCTATTGGCAGGAGAAGGAGGCCTGGAGGGGCCGGGCAACTTTGAGTTTGTCCCCCAAAGGGCCAGAACTAGACAACTGCCTGGCGACAGCCTGGGCTCAGCATAGGGCCGGGAAAGCTGTGCTCTTTCCACCTCCACCCACGCAGACACTGTTGCTCCTGGCCGTGCCCAGTCGAGGCAGGAAGTGTTGCCCTGCTGGACCTTACGGATCTAAAAGTTCTTGGTCCTTTATGCCCTCCCCCACCCCGTCCTGTACCTTGAAGGTCCAGCGCTTTGCCTTGCACCGGACTGAGAGGAGGAGCTTCAGTACATTCAACTGTGTCTGTATTATGGGAATGGGGAGAGGACAGGACTGGAAGAAATCCTCGCTAGACGCCAATCAAAGCCATCTTCCACTGCAAAGAAAGTTGTGGAAGCTTCCGTTCGTTCTCCTTGTCCATTTCATCCCTTACTCTTCTGGGCTGAATTTCATGAAAAGTTCAACCCGAAATTGTGACCTCCACTGAGATACCTGAGGCTGGAGTGGATTGCACCTGAACCACTTCAGAGTTTTGACAGTCTCCTTCAGCAAACTGGATGGGGCCTTAGCCAGTTTTAGCCTCAGGAAACACTTTCAAGTTGTTTCTCTAGGGCGCTTTTTCTTTCTTTCTTTCTTTCTTTTTTTTTAATACTTGAGGGAGCTGGTGAGGAGACATTTGCCTACTTTGCTTTAAAAATACATATGCCTTTGCAGACTTAGAGGCGAATGCATTCTATGTCTAAAATAAAGCATTTTATAAATCCTTATCTACAGCCATTTCATCAGAAGAGAACACTTTGAAGGTTTGTCACATAGCAGTCAGTCAAGAGACTTCCACAGCAAAATTGCCCAGTTTCCTAGTTTATGGTACACATAACCCCCATCTTCCTGACCTCTCAGGATGCCATTTGGGTTTTAGCAGTTTCTCTTCTCCCTGGTTTCTCCTGCCCAAGCCCTCTGAGTCTCAGCGGCCTCCCCCCGACTGCATCTCACCCTCCCTTCCCTGTCCCCTAAATACTCCCTTCAAGTTCATTCTTTCTGCTTGTATTTTACCAGTCCCTCCTAGTTCTGATAAAAGCATCTACCTCTGAGAATCACCTCCTGCACCAAAGTGGTTTCCCCTACAGGTGACACTAGGAAACATTGCCAGAATTAGAGCCAGGGCAGTTTTTGGAGTCCTGAATTGTTGATGCTACCAACTGAGGGAGAAAATGGAATTTTCCCTGGACTGGCCAGATGAGAGACAGAGGTAGACACCCACATCCCGGCCCCAGTGGGAAGAGCTGTGTGTGGAGACAGCCTCCAGTTGCCGTGGCCTCTTCTCTTGGGGCTAAGGAGAAGTAATATGGAAGGCCTAAGAGAAAAAGAGGCTTCTAACGAGAAGGACTTTGTTTTCATCTTTCCCAAGTCTGCCTTGGGTAGAGGTCTTAATGGTGAAGAGGCAGCAGCTAAGGCCAAAAGCTGACTTATCCCAACACTGGACAACAAGTGCCAGGTTTAGAGAGTCATCACTGTTTCTGTGGAGGGAAGGGAGCATGGCATGGACACAGGAGGCTTGGCTTCTGCCTGGCTCTGCACTGGCACCCAGTCACATTGCCCTTCCGAGCCCAGACCTCCACATGTATGGGTGAAGGGCTTGGAGAATGACCATGGAGGGGCCATCCAGCTCTGGGGTCTGAGGACTTTGGGGGACCTGAAAAAGAAGTAGGACCCAAGATTCAGCCTTTATGTTATCAGCTATGCTTTTGGAGGTTTTTACTTTTGTCTTAAGTTGAATTGACCCTTTCAGTTCCTCTTGCTAATTCTGATGTAGTAAAAGGTGCATAGTCCCAGGCACAGTAAATATTTATTAAACCAAACCAGAGAGGTGCCAAGTACAAATCCCAGATCAAGTACATATGAGTTCTACAACCTTGTCTATGTCATTCAGCCTCTTTTAGACTCAGTTTCAGCATCGTGAAATGGAGATAACATCTCTCTGGGCTGTAAGCTTTGAAGACCATGTAAATCCCTAGCCCAGAGCCTGCCATATCAAAGGTACTCAATTCAGAGTGGCCATTATTTTCTTTCATTTTCAGATACTGATCGGATCTTGGGGCTATCACAGGGCCTGGGTAAAAATCAGTAATGGCCAGAAACTTGATCAAGTCCTGTAACACCAACCTGATCTTTCAGAAATCACTGCCTTGGCTTAGCAGATTCCCAAGCGCCAGTTTCTGATTGGATTTCACTGAGCCCATCCTAGGTTGGAACAGGTGGCAGCAGCCAATGCCAGACCAGCATTCTGGAGCTACTTTGAAAGGGAGCTCGAAGGTCAGGGTGTTCCCTTCACGAGTCTGGCTTTGTACTGAGTGGTCCCACTGTCTTTTTAACAGGGTGGTTTCCCAAAATCCATGTGTGCCCCAGCATTTTATTTTTGTTTCTTTTTGCAGTATGCGGGCCTCTCACTGTTGTGGCCTCTCCCATTGCGGAGCACAGGCTCCGGACGCGCAGGCTCAGTGGCCATGGCTCACGGGCCCAGCCGCTCCGCGGCATGTGGGATCTTCCTGAACCCGGGGCACGAACCCGTGTCCTCTGCATCGGCAGGCGGACTCTCAACCACTGCGCCACCAGGGAAGCCCCAGCATTTTATTTTGATCTGAGTGCTTCTTAAACCCCTTCTGGGTGAGGTTACATCTTATCGAGAAGCTTTCCTCAACACTCCACCTAGAACTGGTTTTCCCTCCTCTGAGAACATCACACCTCTTGCCCTTGACACTCACAGGACAGTTATTTAAGATTTATAGAGTTATGTTTTCTTGGTCTGGTTCTGATTCTCCAACTAGATTTTTGTATTAAGGAACTTCCAGATCACCTTCATACTACAGCAACTAACATATAATGAGTATGTTGTACAGTTTGCAAAGTACCTTCACAGACTATCTCACTGGTCCTCTCTGGCCTGTCACACATGTGTTGCTCATAGGATAAGTACTTATTGATTAATTAATGCCATCATGTGTTTATCAAATATATAGTGGTTAGTTAAAGTTATGGATCTCCGATATATTTCTTTTCTTCGTCTTCTCTTTGGTAATAAACATGAAATAGCCAAAGCCACAGTAAGGAGAGGAGAATATACTCAAAGGAGTTATCAGCAACAACACGTATCACTAGTAAACCTTCAAAGATGATAGATATGTCTCTGTATGTTATGTTTATTTTTTTAATGGAAGGAAAAATAAAATGCTGAATTAACCTACTGATATCATTTTGCAAACAACTTGACTTATATTGTTGAGGTCATGACCAAAGATAAAGCTAAGTGAAAGTGGAGGAAGGTGACCTCTTGGTCTCTAAAGCCACTTCCAGATTCAGACTTGTCTTTTTGTATTCACTTCTGGAATAAAGCTCTCATAATCAGTAAGGACTTGATAGAATAATGTTTAATGATAAAAATGACTCAGAATGATTATCAGTAATGAAAAACAGAATCTTAGAACCAACCAAGATTTGTGAAAAAGGGCTAGACTAACATCTAAACACCACCGCCATAACCCTCACCCCCTGCACACGGGTCCCCGGTCTTTGCCTTCTCCCCCGAAATCCTTAAAGATGTTTCTGAGGCCACCTGACTTTCTACAGTAACTCTGGTGTTGCTCAAGACGAATGAATTTAGCTGAAGATGAGACCAAACTTAAATCTTAAGACCCAAGTCAGTGGTCTCAGGGCTAAAATAAAAATGTATTGCTAGGAGCTAAAAACTGCCAAGAATAGTCTTGCGCCTGCCTCTTCCTTTCAGGAGCTGGAGAAAGCAGGCCAAAGCAATCCTAACCCCAGGCTGAGGAGCCCTGTTTGCAACCTGAAGTCTCACCTTGCTATTAGTGTGAGAGATGTCTCTTTAACAGCTAACCAGTCCATTTGGTGCCTTTACCAAGTGGGAGGGGTATGTCTTATCAGCCCAACTCCTGGGATTAATTGTTTTATCTCTACTCCTTTCCTCTTCAATCTGCCTGCAGAGCGCAGAGCTGTCAGTGTGGTCGTCCCCTGGCTGCTCTACTCTCCCTGCCTTTTCTCTTTCCCCAGGAAACCTTCTCATGGCTGCAGAGCAGCCCCTAAAGCAAGACTAGAGGGGAAGCCCTCCAGCAGTCCCCTCCCCTCCCATCCCAGCCTGGCCCAGATCACCCAGTTCCGAATGATGGTGTCTCTGGGACATTTAGCCAAAGGAGCCAGCCTGGACGATCTCATCGACAGCTGTGTTCAATCTTTCGGTGAGTTGGCGAACTGCCCACATGCATAAAAATCGCTCTCTTACTTTGTTCTTCCTTAAAAAGTGCGTTATAGAATAGCAACCTAGATTGCATTTGGGGTTTAAAAATAGCTCTTGAGCCTTTGAAATGTTGGAGACTGTGCAGTGCCTATGGCACATGACTATGTGGGTGTAATAGGTCGTGATGAGAAGTGCGATTTAAAGCAAGAAAAGTTACTGAGGAGAGTTTGCATTTCCAATTTTCTCAGGATGGAGGTTTTTCTTGTGATGAAAAATATGATAAAATGCAGTGGTACATCTGGTGCTTTTCTGTCCTTGTGTTCTTGGGGCACACAAAGACTAGGTTGCATGAGCAAACGCTGTTATCAAATAGAAATTCGAAAGCCTTTGGATCATTTGGACAATAAAGTGTTAATAATTCCCCTCACAATCTTGAGGGTGGTTGTGGAGCAATAGGAAAGGACCAGGCAAAGCCAGATGTCTGTGCCTGAAAGGTACTGGCAAATGAGCAGTGTGATTGAGGATTGAGGATCTGTAAAATGAGCAGACACATGGGCAGGGAGTTATCTAGGCGTGCACCCTGTCATCACCCGTACTCACAGTGAGGGATGAGCAACTTAGTGCAGCTGACAAGCGATCATCAACAAAGATGCCCTTTTTTTTTTTTTTAATTTTGTAGGCACTTTCTTTCTTTTGATTGTTACATGTGAAGTAGTGATTGAGAAGTACTAAGTGTTTGTTCCCGTTCCCAAAAAGAAATGATGGAAGATTCATGGAGTTTCAGTATCACCGATCCCCCTCCTTGCCCCTTTAGAAGCCCCTCCATCTCCCCCCGGGAAGCAGATGAGCATGTGTGTCTCAGCACGGAAGCACCACCAGCCGGCCCTGCCCTGGTGCCTCCCAGGGAGTATAGGGGAGGCTTGATCAGATCCCAGGTAGCAAAACGTGCAGGACTGTTAGAGCTCAGAGCTAGGGATTATTCATTGGCTGGACCTGTTTAGTGCTCAGTCAAACCTTATTTGTAGAATTCAGAAAAAATTGACGTTTTGGAGATTCTCATTTAGTACAATTTAGCAAAACATTGAATAGTTTCGGTGGGGGATATATGTATGTGTATAGCTGATTCACTTTGTTATACAGCAGAAGTTAACACACCATTGTAAAACAATTATACTCCAATAAAGATGTTAAAAAAAAAAGAATAGTTTTGGTGATTCCACCATTTGGTTTAAAGCAGCGGTTCTCAAATGTTCCTGCAAAATCACACAGAGGTTTTTGTAAAACAGATTGCTGGGTCCCACACGCAGGCTGGCTGCTCTAGCAGGTCTGGGGTAGGGCCCAAGAATTTACATTTCTATCATTTTCCCAGGTGATGCTGCTGCAGCTGATCCAAGAACCTCACTTTGAGAATCACTGCTTTATTGTTTATTATAGATTTTTTAACTTGGAAAAGAGGGAGTATTTTTACTAGTTTAGCATTAAATTTTAATTAAATTTCTATTTAGTTACACTTTAGTCTTTCAGCTGGGATGAATTTGGGAGCAGAATGAATGGTTTTCTATTTCAAAATAATCTCTGGAAAATATCCATGCAAGGAGATAAGCTAGAAGATGGGGGGATGGGTGGAAGCATGGCTGTAATGAGCCATTATTCATCATGCACTTTACTTTCACCTGGTTCCCAACTTGATAAGCTGCAAAATTCCTCATACAGTCGTGATAGTCTTATTTACTGGTCTTTAGCAGGGCACTGTGACTATTTCATGAATAAGCATTTTTATTCTCTTTCCATTTCACTGTTGAGGAAACAAGGTCCAACAATATTTTTATCATGCTATCTTTCTTCCTCCCCTGCCAGTCATTTAGCTGCCCGCTCAGTTCAAGGCTGTTGCCCTAACCTTCAAATCATCATGACGTCAACCTGAAAAATACATGACCGATTCTGAGGTCCTGCAAAATAAAAAATGACCAAGCCTGACCCACTCCCCTCAGTGAATCCTAGCAGGGCTAAAGATGCTGTTTCCTGAATTATGTTGAACTGAAAAGTACCTTAAAATCCCAAAGCTATTTTTAAAAAAAGCCATTGAGTCTAACAGTCTTTTATCCATTATCATGACGTATCAATAGCCCCTAATTAAGCCCCTGATTGCATCTGACACTCGGCTGGGCATTGCATGAGAGAATTACAGTGACCGAACCTCTATTCCATTATTTAAGCTTAGAATACCTGAGGAATGCACCGTTCGGGGAAAGAAAAAATGTACCAAAGCCAGGGCAATGATAAGGTAAGGTGTGCAGGAAGAATGAATTCTTTAAACCATGTAGACTCTGAGTGAGTTCACACCAAGGGTGAGGGCGTAGACTAGGGAGAGCAGCCACGGTCTGTTCAAACCCCTCTCGTGCAGGGCGTGGGAATGCTGCCAGAAGACAGCAAGGAGCCATCAGAGGCAAGGTTTTGCACCTGAGGTCCTGCAGGGTTTCCTGCCACAGAATTTACATGAAAGAGGCAAAAAAGAAAAGACACCCTATGTCTGGAGGGAATGGGAGATGACACTTTTGTCTGTGAATTGGACTCTGGTTATCAGTGGACGTGTCTAGTGGGGCAGGGGTGTGGAGCTAGAGCTGGGGGCCGGGGAGCCAAAGCTGGATCGTGACAGGCAGCCATCCACGGTAGGACATTGCTTGTGCTTCTGGAAGGTCTCCTCAGAGAGGATCCGAGAATAGTAACGCGAGGCTGATGCTTCTCTTGAAACTTACCTTACTGGTTATTTTCTCTGGTTAGTATAGAAGAGTTTTTGCTTTAGAGTAAAACAATCTAGCTTAGTTTTTTGTTCATGAGTTTAGAAGTCTTCTCATTTGAATACCCATGGAAAGAGAGGGAAATAGCACTACCAAAGTGTGGGGAAAGTTTTTTTTATCAGGGGGAGTGGGGCGGGGGGGGGGGTCATCTCTCCCTTCAGACTCAGGTTTCAGCCACTCCTCCCAACAACTTGAAAAAAAAAAAAGGGAGGAAATAAAACCTCTTTTGAACACAAAGACTGACTAATTAGTCCATTTACTTTTTACTACTGTCTCAACCTCACCTTGATGCAGATTCCTTGAAGAGGTTTGAACTGGCTACAGCTGTGCTGTCCAGTATGGCAGCCACTACCCACCTGTGGCTATTTATGTAGACATTTTAATTAATTAAAATTAAATCAAATGTAAAATTTAGTTCCTAAGCTTCACCAGCCATAGCTCAAGTGCTCAATAGCCACAAGTGATGCCTGCTGCTGGACAGAGCAAGTAGAAAATATTCCCTTCTTTGCAGAAAGTCCATGGGATAGCACTGGCCTGGGTAGATGGTTGACCGGAAGGGGAAAAGCAGTGTGGGATTTGCATTTTTCTAGCAGCTCCAGCTAATAGTCTGACTACTGTCTAAGGCATCCTGGGCATTTGGCAGTCTTTACTGATGGCTCTCTCTTTAGTATTATTAACCATTAATTTCAGAGGAAGGACTTATTACAAGGCTGTTAGGCATGGGTGGCCGGCACGTACAAATTAAGGCCTCTAGCAAGCCTCCCGATGCCACATACAAGGTTACAGATCTCTGATTAGAAATTCAGAGCCTTGAGTCATAGTGTGTTGCTTTCACCATGAAACAACCCACTCCCACCTTCTGTTTTAATCAGAGGTCATGCTTTACATTGTCCCCATATCATTGCTTATTAATAACTCTTCCACTGAGCATAATGAGGCAAGTCATCACAACGCTGGTACGTTTATGTCAAATGTATGTGAATCACACCATCTGTTTCAGAGGTAGGAAAGACCTATGAGATCATCTGGGCTTTTTATAATGTTATCACTTGTAAGAGGGCTGCCAGCTCTGAGGGCCGAATGGAAGGCTTCAGATGTCCCAATTCTGGCCCCCTCTGAATGCAAGACAACTTCTGACAGCCTCAGAAAGTAAACTGCAAACATGTCCCAGCAAGGGACCCTCAGCAAGCAGCTCTCCTGCTCCCAGGTCGAGTGTGGGAAGAAACTCAACATCTTTGTCTTACCCGACAGCGAGAAAGGAAACACAGCTTAGCTAGTGTCTTATTTATGGTGTGTTGTTTATTTCTTCCTTGGAGGGCTATATGTACCGATTTTCTTTGAAACTCAAAACAACTCTGAAATAGGTCAGGTATTAGTGTCTCTATGGGCAGAGGAGACGATAAGTGGAGCCTGTGTGAACTGAAACAACTTGCCTCATGCCCCCAGCCCCCCAGCCCAGTCTAAAGAGAAAACACGCTCCCGGAAGCCTCTGGAAAGCTGAGCTGGGCCATGCTTAGGTCCTTCTCCTAGGGCAAGCTCCCTTCACTCGGGGGGACCTGCATGCCCCACAGGACAAGTCTGCACTCTGTGCCCACAGTCTGCAGGCCTGGTGTCCCCCAGATTAGAAATTAAACTCCATTCAATGTAGGAAACATTTATTGGACCCCATCTATATACCAGACATCTGCTTGGAATTCTCAAACAAATTCTGAATTAATTTAAATTAGTGTGTGCACTGTATCTCCCAAACGAAAGAAACCTCCAGACTAATAGGTATATTTCCCGTACCACTAATAGATGTATTTCCTGCAGTTGGATGTTAAAAGCATTGTATAGACCTCAGCTTATTAAGGGTAAAACACTACATCTATTTTTAAAGTTAGATCCAAAAAAGGCAAACACACACTCGTTGGGACTGTTGTTCCCTCCGTGGCAGAGGGAAGATTCAGTGTTCCTCACCCCTCTGCAACTTAGTCTGTGCACCAAAGCCGAGTGCCCAGAGGCAACAAAAGCACAAGACCAGGCGCCAAGGGCCATGATGTTGAAGGACGGCCGGACCCAGGAACCAGCAACTCCAAGGAACAAAGCCAAGTGTAGGGTCAGGAAAGCTGGCCATTGTGAAGACAGGCTCTTTGGGAAGAAGACCACAGCTGTCCCAGCAGCCTCCTCAGTGGAATCTCCCATCTCTGGGAGTCACGGTTGC